TTAAAAAAAGTGCAAAAGTGTGCCTATGAGTTTCTCTAGACTATCCTCTATATTTATGCTAAATTTCATCGAGATCCATTCAGCAGTTTAAGCTACAAACTTTAACAAGCATCCATGTATCTAAACATTCACATTTAAAATGTTATTAAGAAGGAAGATTTATTAAGTTACTAGCTTTTGCCCGCGACTCTATCCGTGTGGAAATAAAAAAAAAAACAAAAGTGAGTAGCCTATGCGGTTTTCTAAACTATGTTCTACATATATGCCAAATTTAATACAGATCCGTTCAGCCGTTTAGGCTACAAACTCTAACAAACATCCATCCAATCCATCTAAAGTTTCACCTTTGTAATATTGGTATGATTTATACATATCCCACCGAATTGTAAAGTGTCTGATAACAATCCAACGAGTAAAATATCTGATGGAAATATCGGTTTTTATACCCTTATCTGACAGTGACGACATTTTTAAGCTATTTTTAGGCCTTAAGTCTCATTATAAGCTAGTTAGCTGATGCAAATGATGAACAGCCGTCGTTTTATTTACTACTAGCTGTTCCCATGCGACTTTATCCGTATGAAATTATAAAATTTTCATTTAATTGTTCACAAAATGTTGTCAAAATGTTATGACATGATGTCAAACCATGGCAACCTTGCTTCCTTGATGTTGGCAACAACTTATGGTCTCTTTCCCACATTAGGGTTTTTATCCAAAATATTTACCCTTAACTTTAACGGCATGAAAATATATAGCCTAAAGCGTGTAGTAAAAACGTAAGTGTAGTGCTTTTTATTAAAAAAATAGTTATTCGAAAACATGCTGTATTTGCTGGCAACTTAGGCAATAAAGAAGTGTGTGTTTACGCTTTATTATAATAGTATAGATCTCTAAGAAGTTCGTAACAAAGAGAGAATCATACTCGATTAATTTATCTCACATAATTAATATGCAATACACACAGTGATGTTAGTATACAATGAATTAACCTCTCTTGAGAATACATTGACCGGAGCAAATGTCACGCATTACGACTTAATTAATTGTGATTGCGGAATTACCGGGTAGAGTATTGTTTAACACCCGGAACAATATGTGTATCTAGTGATTTAGCTATAGCGCCTTACAAATCATACTAATATTATAAATGCGAAAGTTTAGATGGATGGTTGTTTGTTAAAGTTTGTAACCTAAACGGCTGAACGGATCTTGGTAAAATTTGGCATAGATGTAGGACATAATCTGGAAGGAAACATAGGCTACTTACTTTTGTTTTTTAAGTTCAGACGGAGTTGCGGGCGAAAGCTAGTAAAATATTAAATGATTTTATTTTTTCATTGGATTATCTTAGGAAATTTCTATTGATGAATCATTATTTGTCTCGATTTAGGATTTGATAATTAAACTTATATCTGATATTATCTTAGAAGTATAAAACGATATTTAAAAATAGTTACTGTAATTTTTCTACTAATCAAATCAAAATATATGTATTGAACTCTACTACTATTAACTTTTCAACGTCTTGTGACTACTGAAAGTTCTAAAACGTTATGATTTAAGATACTCGAAAGTAAATTAATTCAGTCTGAATGTGGCTCTGATTAGTGCGGATGTAACTCGCGTCACCTCTCACATCCCCAATTGTCAATATTCGAGTAAACGCGGGGTAACTACGTCTTTTTCAACCTCATTGAATATATTATTAACATCATTATTAAATTGATTTTCTTAATACTAAAAAAATAAAGTCCATGTACGGATAAAATAATAGGCGATCTACTGTTCCTTTTCTAATAAAAAGATGCATTCGACATTCGATTCAATTCTGTCACACTAGCTGTTGCTCGTAATTTCTTCTGTGGAAAATTAAAAATTGTATACGTTACTTACTGATAACGTAGCTTTTTAAAGGTGAAAGAATTTTTAAAATTCAATACGATACATATAAAAATACAAATCTTTTCTCTTTATAATATTAGTTTAGATATAGATAATACAATACTATTCTGGTTTCGTTTAACGCCGCAATTCTTTGATTTTGAGGTTAGTTTTAAGATACGTCTTCACAGATCTCATGATTCAAGTCTTTCTGTCTTTTTTCAAAAGTACGTACTTAATTTAATGGAAGTTTTTAAATGCTGTAAATACTAAAAGAATACCTCAGAGAGAAATTAATAAGATAATAGTTGCACTAAAAACTCGTAAAAGAAAGGGAATTTATAAAGAATACAAAAATGTAAGCTCCCAAATTTCGCGACGACTTCTTTATAAGTGGACAAAAGAAGAAGCTGCTTTTGTATTATCTTAATTTGAGTAGTTCAAAGAAAATGAACTCATTTCGTTTAAAAAAAATGTAATTTAAAAAGATATTAATTTTGTAAAAATTACCTAGGTAAATAATGTAAGCCTGTGAATGAAACCTTAAAATTACGTTACCCTAGTACTCCAAGTTAAATAAAAAAAAAAACAACAAGCTCACGCCCGTTACAGAGGAGAGTAGATAGATACCTCTACGCATAAATCTTTATAGGTTTCGTGTTTTTAATGAATTATTACTTTACATAATTTGAATGTGTCATAAATAATGATTATTTATTAAAGTAGCAATCGTTTAAATTAAACAACAAAGGAGTACCAAATCGCGTCTTTATTTCGCCGTGGAGAACGACGGTCTGTGGAAATTGTAATTTCTTTGATTCCCGACCATTGTGCAACTGATAAAAGCGACACTTTTCGCTCCCAACTGAATGAATACACCCATTATACCGGCACAAAAGTGGATATTCCAAACAAAAACATCATTGCCTCCATAATAGAGAGAATAAAAACATTTCAGACCGCAGACTATCGAAATTATGTTGCATTGAAATTACATTTAATATTAAAAAGGTACTTTATACTTTTAATAGCGGAAATGTATTATCCAATTGTAATGAGAATTAAGCTGAGGACATATTTTTTACAAAGGAAAAATTGAAGTAAGTATTATTTGTATTAATAAGAAAATCTTGGGTTTGGTCGGTCTAGCTAGTGTTTATTACACGGTATGCGGTAGTTTATAACTTGAAGATTTGAAAATTAATAAACTAGGTAATTAACTAAAATTATTGCTACAAAAGAAATTCCGTGTCAAACATTTGACAAAAGTAAAAAAAAAACACAAGCTTCGAAGCCCTCTAGCATCAAAGCTAAGAAACTTACCTCTAGTTAATATCTTTTATGTGTATTTTATATTTTCGCTAAATTCCATCAAGGAATCTATAGTCCAAATTATTTTAGTTTCCAATGGTGCTTTTCATGCTTCTAGCGACATCTCTTAGCTTTCCAATGCAACTGAAACTCAAATATAGATGGCGCTGTCAATAGATTTCCGTAGACATTGTTTGATATCGTTGTTTCTGTCAAATACTAGATGGCAGGGGGGTACTGTGGAGTCTGTTTTATCCGAGCGTCCATCTTGTTTATTTATCTTTGCTCTCTTCATCAATTATTGATTAGCATCAAAAATAGTACCTATCGGGATCAATATGTAACATGGAGGTTAAAGTGTAAGCTGTTATGATGCAATGTCGAAGTAAATGACCTATGATTTAAATATTCATACGGAAAATTAACAAAATGTTGTTTAAAACGACAAAATCATGTTTATTTGCACTACTTTTGACTATAAAGTCTGTCATACCATTTTACTGGTTGAGGACCCAGCTTATAACGCCTTGCTTGTTTATACATATACAAAAATATTTTGTATATAATGAATTATATTATAATAGTATAAATCAGGAATACAAACTCGTCGGCTTTAAGTGTTTTTAAAAGGCGTGAAATTAAACCTATCGTTCATCTGCAAAAAATATGGACTGATAAATTTTATCTAGCAGTAAATAGTAGTAAGCAAATTTAATAACAACATCTAGATTAAAATATGCCTTGTTTATTTTATAATTTCAGTTAACATGGAAATTGTAAACATATTTATAGTACATTTGTGATGTAACATCGCTTAATAAATGTGTAAACAATTACGTAATTATTAGCGTCCGGCGTCTAGTACACCATACACTGTTTTTATAATAGTTCTTATTAAATAAATCAATGAACTAGGAAATAATAAACTAAAGAAGTAGACAGTTAAAATGAAACAAATCTTAAGATGCTACGACCGAGACGTTTTTTAAGAACTAGCTGCTGCTCGCGATTTCATCCGCGTGAAATAAAAAAAAATATAAAACATTGTCTATGTTACTTACTGATAACGTAGGTTAACCACGACGTAAGAATTGAAATCGGCCAAATACTTTTTGGGTTATTTCAATAGATACAAAATACAAATCTTTCCTCTTTATAACATTGATATAGATAAATTTTTACCTTTAAAGTAACAACAACAATAACTGTGGGTTTTCACTTTGACACAAGCCTTAAAATGTTTTGTACAAGTGTTTCGTTAGTGGAAACGCACCGTTATGATGTAAGGCATTATAATATTCACTACGACACAATGTGACCGTGATTTTGTGCGCATTATATTCCACTTGGCGACATGCTAACGAGATGACGCCATAGCTTTTCGCTCAGGTTTCTCGACCTGTGACAGTAAGTGCCTATTTCACGTGAATACTATAAGAAAAAAGAATGTCTAAATGGTCATATATAAGGATACTTGAAATTGGGAAAGTCTAAAAAATTACAAGTCATTTTGTGATGAAACATTTCGTATTTTAGTTTGCATGAAAATATTATACGCGATCACGTGTTGAAATATATCTTATACAGGTCTAAAAAAATTGTTTCGAACTTTCGCACAATTCGAGTTGTTTACAGAAACATGTAGAAATTGAGTCACGTTCGCGTGCGTTATTTATACACTCACAAAGCGGACCAGAATAAATACCTCCTCCGCAACATTAATAATAGTTCGACTAGGAATGATTGATAAAATATGCGGGAGTTAAAAATCAAACGACTTTGGTTACATATAAAAATATTTTATTAAAAACATTTTGGTAACATTTAATAAGAACACTTAGGTAAAAATAAATCGACCTCAAAATTATTTCAAAAGAACAGCCTGGACTGGAAGTTCACGGAGGAAGCCGGAACAGCAAAAACTAAAATAAATAAAAACAATAACACTCTAGGCAGACATGTCTAATTGACAACCAGAATTAAGGCATCGCAAGAATAATTATTTAAGTACCATAAAATACCTACGGCTATTATTATAATTACAACAAATAAACGCCTAGTGTCTATCGTCAGTTGCGTATGCGCGGCGATGGCGGCGATGGCGCCCCTGGCGGAGCTTACAACTCGAGTATTATTGACACATTACACTCACGAGACATTTGCCACTACGCCGTAATACACTACTAAATACTAAAACATCCCAATTATACGAAGCTATGTTAAAATTTTACCTAACTAATAATAATATTAACATCTTCGGCTAATTTTGATACTAGAATGATATAACATCATCTCATATTGTACTCTTAATATTACGCTGGATTAAATTATAAGTGAGGAATTAAAACACGTTACACATAATATTGCAAGCATTACTGAGATTGTGCACGTTACGTGGATGTCGTTACGAGTAATGTATGACAACTTAACGTTACAAGGAAGATACGATTGCTTATACTGAAGTGGATTAAAGGAACAGTCAAAGTTTAAATTACGAGCATTGGCACTTTCAATATTAAATCTTAATTACACTCTCGAAATAGCACTGCGTATCAATAACCAACTTAAAAACTAAATTCAGATCAGTCATTTATGATATCACATCAAAATAAACAGGGAAATACATAATATGTGATTATCGATTGGATATACTATATAATATATATTATAATCTTTTCAAAAGAGGTATTAATTTTCTTAAGGGTTACTAAAATATTGAGCTCTGCGCCGCGCGCGACGCACTATATCACGATAATACGAGAACAACATCGAACCAATAAGTTTTGGTACTTGGAGTTTGTCTCCGAGTTAATCTATTTCGCTAAACCTACATAATGCTTATTAGATATACGTAATACAGCCGGGCGACACCGCCGGCCCCGCCACGGCCGCTGCCCTGCCGCCAGCCGCCCGGCCAAAACCCTTCATCCTTATACAATTTTCATTATAAAAATACTGTCATTTGACTACAGTTCGATGAGAAAAAATAATGAACAATAGATATAAATACAACAGATAATAAGTATAATATCGTGTATAATGATTTGTCTAAACAAAATAAAATGCATAAAATTGAAACGATTAAAACATTGTAAACTTACTTAAAGACAGATATTGGAAGGTACTAAATTGATTACTTCGGAAAAAAATATTCAAATAAATAGCACAACAACCAAAATATTTGGCAAATGTGGATTTAAATAAACATTAACAACTATACCCATCCACAGCAACTTACAACACAACTGGAATGCAAATATTGCATCGCACCTCGGCCTCTGCGCCGCCCAGCGCCACTACTGTGCGTATCGCTCCGAACATTCCCTCTCTACATTCGATCGAAGCTTTGTCATTATTACATATTAAAAACTAAAAATAATCTGAATGCAACATTGGATTAAAAATAACGATAACAACCATTTTGTGAGTATGTGTGAATGAGGAGATAGCACGCTATACGCACACCCCTACAATAGTTTACAAGTGTGGCTCTCTCCGGGAATGGTGTCCACTGATAGCTTTCACGTTAATCTAAGCTGCATTCTGAGATCCATGCTATGTTCAGTTCAGTTCGTGACCAACTGACACTATAATAAATAAATAATGTAGAAACGATAACTAATTTCTTTTATCAGCAATGTTCATAGCCCATATCGATTACAAACGGAAACAAATACACAGCGATGACTTAGATAAAGCGTTTGATAAAATGCAATGTCAATTTGGAACATGATAAACTATTTATGAATCTAAATTTTGTTCTTGTCATTCATAAAAGAAACCTAATGCATGGATGTTGGTCCCTTCCAAAATTTTCACACCATTAGAGTAGTTGTATAAAGAAAATTTTGAAAACTACAAACCGTATTGTCACATATTAACATTTACTTTTATAAAAATAACTTTGTGGGAAATATGTCATCATGTACAAATACTCCAGTTCCAATTTAAAGCTGATCACAACATAGAAGAACTAAAGTTGCACAGAAGGACAGTATCAATTTTACATTAGTATAGTTAGTATTACACATTACTTATACATAATTGAAGAGACTCACACTATTAAATATCTTGACTAAAATTAAGAGACCATGGATATTAGTTTAAATATGCATTTACATAGAGATATTGCCAGTCTGTACCACACATAGTATAATTTCACTAAGCCCAGCATCTGGGCACATCAATGACACAAAACTTTTAAAACATCTGTAACAACTACTAATACCTTAGTTTATCTAATCACTGCTATAATTTGTGATGATATGCACTGATCACCCATCCAACTATGTGCTCTGCGGGCTTCTCATACAAAGTGAGACATTAAGCATTTCATAAAATTGATAGGAAATTGATTTTAGAGCAATGTATCAAGATCATATCCTCTAGAGAATGTCACCACTATTATGTAATGCTCGGACGGTACATCCAACATCATAATTACATCTTAAAATTAACCTATAGCTTGGCTTTAAATTCGTGCCATCTCGTCAAAACCGTAACTAAAAAAACATCCGAGAAGCAGCCTTTTGGTTGAAACATTGACAAACCTATTCATTATGACTGTGGAATATAATAAAATAATTACACCTACAGCCCTAAAGATAATTATAAAACAATATTTAAATAAAAACTATTAGATGTAATGGTGGGAGATACAATTCATCAAATAAATGTCGAAAATTTAAATATTGCTTTTTAATTTAAATATATTTGGGAACAAAATCCATTGATTGAATTTATCAATCAATTGTATTTTATACTAATCAATATAAATTGTTCTGATCAACAATTTATAGATAATATATTAAATTCATATTAAAAACAAATAGATTCTTTGGATAACAAATCATTAACAATTCTAAAAGGAACTAAGTGTAGCGTAATATATTAATTAATTAATAAGATGATTTCTGTTTTAAATAAAGAATATTGTAACATCAATGGAAGAGTAGATTCCAAGTTATTTTCAGTGCTTAGACAAGGAAAATGCCAAATTATAATTAATTGTATTCCTATGGCATTGTTTAAATATAATTAAGCCTAACATTATCACACAAACAAATAAGTTATTTGTTTTAACCAAAGTAATTTATATCGTCGCACGTTTCACAGAATTTTTCTAAAATTGCTTTGTTTAAATTAAGATCACAGTATTAAGTCACGTTCAAAATGTAACTCTACGAAATGCGTGGGACGATAACAACTTACATATTCCACAGTCATCCGTAAGACCGGGCCACATGGAGATGCACTGTCATATAGAAAAATATTACAAAATTGCACTAAATCAACAACTCAGTTCCCAGAGAAGGAACTGTCATGTTTTGGTCAAATTAGTCTAACATTCATTACTGTATCCTAAACTTAAAGCAATTACGATTATGTGAATACAAAAACTCCGAAAATAAGTGGAGTATCCTATCATTTAAAAGTAAAATGATAAGTCGTCAGTTGAGAACTGTAGTCGTTGATTTACTGGATGGGTATGGCGATGGAAGCACCAAACAACTGCGAGACAGAAGTTGGTACGCACCCTGATGTGTCCCAGTCATACCCAACATTTGTTCTGAAGTTTGTGTTGATACATCGTCACCTCAATCCTTGGCGGCTACAACCCAAGAGAAGCCACAGAAATGGCAAGAGTCTTTTACATACTGTGTGTGCGTTCCAAACGGCCCCAGCCGGTGATACTGCGAGCGGTTAGCGAAGAACAGTGCAGGGTCCTTTGGTGGCAGCACTGTAGCACGGTAGTTCCATTTAGAATCGGTGAGATTGGCCATCAGGTTGAGAACGTCGCGTTGCTCATATCTTATTTTGATATCTTCAGCCTTCTGTTCCTTTGGACGTGGTTGAGGTTGCACGAATGGTTCGAATACTTTCTGAAATTTTAAAAGGAAACTAATGTAAAACGAGTAAATAAAAACGAGATATTAATTAGCATTAATCCTGCTTCTCACACTATTGACATTTGTATTTTTAGAAACAAATTTCACGTAATGTCATATAATAACTATAATAGGTTTATGTTTTATCATTTATTTTTAATTTAATTACAATATCATTATCTTATGCTTCAATCTTTAACCCCACGGCTCGCGAAATCTTTCCGTTATCAAATGTCAATTGTACACAATAACGTTAGCGTAAGACATTCGCCATTACAGAATATTATGAAAATAGAGAGGTCAAGGCCAGGACAAATGCAAACAAAAATGGACAAAATAGGAATAATGCTTACCTTTTCCGTAGTTTGAGGACTAGAAGGCAAGGAGTCGCTATTCACTGACTCTGATTTGAGCGACCCCAGCGAGCCGATACCGCTAGACTCACTAGAGACAGATGGACTCGGACTTGTCTGCGATTGAGACAAGCCCGCTATGTCTATGAACGAGCTGAAGGAGTTGAAATTCTCCGTCTCCAATCCAGTTAGAGGTAGTGCAACACTTAGAGCCATTTCTGCAAATGGAAATGAACAAATATACTGTAATTACACGTGCATAAACCCCACAGCATGTGAACATTATGCTGTGTTGACAGAATCTAACGCGCCAATTTATTCTAGTCACAGGACACACTAATTCATCGCACTCACCTTTGACTAGAATAGGAATAATAAAATGTTAAACTGCACTGTTTCAATGAGCAAAACAATATTTACCGAAAAGCGTAATCTCCAAAATGTACAAGCCTCAACGTAGTTGAAGGAGATCGAACATTTATAAAATGAAGTTAGCTACATTACATCGAGTTCGCGTTTGCGTGATGTCTTCAAGCGGCAAGCGGAAATGGGTTGAGGTCGGTAAAACAGTCTATTACGCAGCAAACAAAGAAAAGCTCAAAATAGTGCAAATATAATATTATAGATAGATGCAACACTTCGGGATTATGATATTAGCGATTTATTTTGATAGTAAAATGTGAATATTGGTATTTTAATTTAGCTTTTAACAATTTTCTAGTACTAGCAGTGGTGCCCTCTATATTTAGGTTTAACATCGAGTTTCCGATGCTCGTATTTCTGTGATAGATGGCAGCACCTCCTACTTTATTTTAGTTCGTCATGCGCGAAACAGATGGCGCTTTTCTGGTCTTTTAAGGGGCAACTTTTTTCAGAATGTTTTACCTTTATTGATTTTGATGAATTTTAATATGAAAAACATCAAAAATAACGAATGCGATTCTCAGCCTAAAACAAATAAAACGGTCAAAGGTTGCCTGAAGAAGTACGGAGATTTTTTGATTGCAAATTATAACCCCTAAATATTATACCTATTATGTTTCGTAATTAAATAATACTGTAATAGATTTATGCACAACGTTAAACTACCACATACAGTATTTAGGTATCAATGTAATTAAATATTTTGGGGTATTGTACTGCTCCATTTTGGGTATCTAATTCAAAAATATGTTAAATCAAACTAATCTTATCTAAGTAATATTATAAATGCGAAAGTTTAGATGGATGGATCGATGGATGGATGGATGGATGGATGAATGTTTGTTAAAGTTTGAAGCCTAAAGGGTCGAACGGATCCAGATGAAATTTGGCACAGTTGTAGCGGCTACTTTGGAAGAACACATAGGCTATTTACTTTTGTTTTTGTTTTTTTTTTTAATTCCACGCTGATAGAGTCGTGGACGAAAGCTAGTAATTTTACATTTATTTCATTATTGCATAATGTCAAAAATTACCTATACAAAGATAATAAGTAGTACAACAACGAAGATCGATAAGTAGTGAACTTTGTTAGATCATCACCAGACTGGACTAGGCACATAAAATCGTGGACATAAGGAATTACAATTTGCTTTGTGATTTATCGATATTTACATACTATAAAAACTTTTCTCTTTTTAACTATCACTTTAAATTTTAACTTTGTATTGTGTACACTTTTTTTTATTATTCATGCACGAATTAATTCGTTCAATTTACACTTTTTATTACTTGGTTCTTTACTCTATCTACGCCCCCCCCCCTTCTGGCGTAGTCCAAATATAACATTATGTCCATATTAAAATAACAGCTTACGTTCCAAGCCTTTTAATTTACACCAGCTTTTGCCCGCGATTCCATCCGCGTGAAATTTTAAAAAAATAATAAAGAAATGAAAAATATAGCTTATGTTACTAACAGATAAATTACCTTTCTAACGGTGAAAGAATTTTTAAAATCGGCCCAATAGTTTTTGTGTCTATTCATTATAAACAAAAAAAGTTTTCCTCTTTATAATATTAGTAACAAACATAGTGCAAAACAAATAAAAAACGATTTAAACGTACAGGATCACCATTTAAAGGGAATCTAAACTAAAACATGGGTGAAATTAAGACTACATAAATACTTCTTTCATTTTATGTAACAGTATAAAACTCCGTAACTTACTCTACCCAATATAAAAGCATGTTTTGTCGTTAGCCAATGAACTAGGTTAGGAATAGGGTCTAAAAATAATGTTCTCTTATGGTGGTTTTGATATTTATTGTACTTTTAAGTCCAGCTTCTTCTAACCCCTCTGTCGATATTAATGTTCTATTTATTGTCCGAAGTGTACAGTACCTAAATAGGAGTTTATTGAACTAACGATGAACAGTAACAATTTATAAAACCATTTACCCGATAATTATTAGTACAGTCATTTTACGTTCAGCCCATTTGCTAACTTTATATTCGGTTCAATATAAAACTCTCCCCTTCTTTATCTATCTCTCCTTTTCTGTTGTTATATAGCAATGACGATCTTCTTTTTATACTTAACTGTCTCCTAGAGAGTTGAAAATTGCAATACTATGACAATATGCCTTCAATTCCTATAGACCCACATAGAGTAACCTACTCCAAAACTTGTTAGTTTTGAATTAGCTAATTCCCCCCCTCCTCCCGACTAGATTAATGTAACGCTCATGGATTTAGTAAGTTCATATATCCAGAACGACTGAACGGATAACGAAGAAAATTGGCACAGATGTAGAACATAAACTGGAAGTACACACAGAAGCTATTTACCATTTTTTTAATTCCTCGCAGATGAAGTAACGTGAAAAACTAGTCTGTTTTTACTAACTTGTGTAAAAAAATCAACAGGTTTCAATTTAAGTTTTTGTGGATATAATAGAAATGGTAAGTTTATTGTTTACCTATTCGTTGGTTTTGTACTCTTTAGTAGTTTTATAACCGGTGTTCCGTTTGAAAAATCTACGAATTTCGGTCAACAAAATGTGTTGAAATAAGTATAGATTCTACTTATAGTATTTGGAGACGATTAAGCGCGATGAAAAGCAGGTCACCGTGCCAAACTCTGTATACTCTAATTGCAAGTTATAGACTTGATAGCGTATGGTTTTATAACCGGAGAGTCATTGGTATTGTGAACATTGAGCCCATGTTGTCGTTCAGCCGTTCCGACGTCGCAGGTTCGATCCTCGTCCACATAATTTGTAAATCTTATATTGCCACTTAGAGCGTCCGTTCAATAAAATAATAATAGTAAACATCCGTGCAAATGGCCGGCGGGCGGCGCCCCGGCGTCGAGAGGGGGCTGCGGGTGCGCGGGGGCGAGGGCGCGGAGGGCGCGGGGGCGGGAGGGAGGTGAGCGCTTATCGATTCGCGCCCGCGCGACACACTGTATCTATCCTCTCATCGATGCCCGCTCGCCGGCCTCACAAAGAAAGAGATAGGTTTCGCCGACTTTGATCCTTTTGTTTTTGGGCAGCGTCCGGCGATGCGGGCGGGGGCTGAAAAATGTGAAGGGGCGCTGATTGGCCGCCGTGCGCCGGCCCCGCCCCGCGCCCGCGCACCCCGCACGCCGCCGCGCGAGAGCCTCCGCGAGCGTTCAGTTCAAGGGCGGTTGCGACGCCGAGCGCCGAGCGCCGACTTGTTTGGGTTCCATTTCTATTTATATAACTTAATGAAGGAACAATTACAACGATTGGAAGCCGATTACGACGATCAATGGACAGATTATACGCGGCGCCTGCCGTTCTAACTGTAACATGCCATTATGATTTTTTTTATAGGAAATCCTTTTCATACTGTGCTGCGGACCGAGAACAGAAAGCCTTTGTCTCAGAGGAACTTTCGTAAAGTAATAAAATATGGATATTTGCTAAAATTTTGCAAAAAACATATAAATAGTTGATTAAAGATACAATACAATAAATAAAAATCTGCTTTTTGATTTAGCTTTATAGCTCAAAATGGTAATCGTTTATTTAATTTTCATTGAACAAAACATACACTAGAGGCAACGAATTGTATTATTCAATGTCTTTAACCTTCCATTTGATCTGTTTACAAAGTTTGAGAAGCGCTTTGCTCGCCGCAGCACAAATACACGCCCGATTTAAGCTTCACAGTTTCAGTCTGAATTGCAGGCCGTTTGATGACGTGTAGCAAACCTCGTACTTGCAAACCTCTACTACCTTCAAACACAAACTATTTGTTTTGTTCTCTACCTAAACTTAGATTCGTATTTCACTTACGGCCGAATACCGGAACGACCTTTAAATATGCTGCAGCGGCTTAAATGATAAGACCACGTTTAAACTCCAAATTCCATTAAAAGTTTAAAATCTGTTATGTTGTAAGCAGCGCTTACGAAGCGAAGTATTAAAGATTCGTTTCAATATTCGGCCGTTGGTGTTAGAATTCATTTTTATATTGTTCTTTGTATCTAATGACTTTCTCGGGATAGATAGAGTTCATTTATGTATGTTTAAGTATTGGAAAAGATTACTTTTGATATCAAACTTCAGATTGATAGTTATCGACTAATCCTGACCAATTCTAGTTGAGTAGTAGCTTTGTTCAAATAATGTGCTCAAAGAAGGAACATTTACAACCTAGTTCCATCACAAAGACGTTGCGCGAATTGTAACATCACTCAAATCAATCACGGTCACAGTTCCAAAAGTACAACAAACTTATCTGGTTCGATATAATATTGTAAAATATACTTTAAATGTATAGGACTAAAGTTTTTGATAACAGTAAAACAAAAATTAGAACGCTACGTCAACGTGTCGCAGTGTCAATTGGTTGTGTTCATTTTACCTGTCACGTTGCGAAGACGCCATTTCCACTGGCGTGATAGACGCGTCACGCCGCGTCACGTTGCGTCACGTCGTCTGTTAGCGTCATTCGATATGGACTTATTGATTTCAAATAAAAGTCCCGTCTTCAGTAATTGTCAGAAAAGTACCTTCATTTTAATTCTATGAATTAGAATTTTCTCCGTATTATTCATAAATGTAGAGGATACAGAATATCCTCTACATTTATGCCTAATTACATCGAGATCCCTACAACAGTTTGGGCTACAAACTCTAAGAAACATCCATCCATCTACACTTTCGCATTTATAATTTTAAAAGTAATATTTAGTTGTCAAATTCAATAATATTGTAATCACTTTCATACATATAAATTCAAAACTTTGAATATCAAAAACACTTTTTTACGTACCGTTTGTTGTTAAACAAACAGATACATTTTTTTTCTGAAGAGTGGTCAAGTGACTAATCACAGCTCGAACAAATCCGAGGATAAACTTTTCGGCGCAGCGAAATGCTTAATGAAAGGACTTTTTTTTGGAAACTTAAAAGGTATTCGAGGAACAGTAGCGAAAGAATATCAAGAGCCATTTAGGTACAGTTTAAAAGTGTGCTTGTCGAAATTTGCCCTGTTGATTTTATTGCAAACATTTCCATCTGCGTAGCGGTGAAACTTGCATTCGTGTTTTTTGTTTCTGTACTTAACATCG